GATGCCAGGTACCTCGAGGGCTGGGGAGGCAGAATGGTGTCTTGGTGACTGCCAGCTGCTTAAAGGCACCAATGGCTCACACCTGTAATCCTAGCTACTTGGGAAGCTGAGATCAAGAGATCACAGTTCAAGGCCAGCTCAGGCAAATTGTTTGCAAGACCCCATCTCCAAAATAACCAGAGCAAAATGGCCTGGAAGTGTGGCTCAAGTGGTAGAGCGCCTGCTTTGTAAGTGCAAAGCCCTGAGTTCAAACCCCAGTCCATTTCATCAAAAACAAAGTAACCTCCCAGATCTGAAGCCCAGAAGCTGTGTGGCCTTAGACATGGTTTTTAACCTCTCTGATCTCAGTAATCTCATCTGTCAGACGGCATAACAGACTTTAAAGTATTAAATGAGTATGAAATACAGGTAAAGAGCCTGTCAGAGAGATTCACTGGCATTAGTGCTGTTGATGCTTTGTGTCCAACCCAGTGAGCTCAGCTGTCAGTAAATCCTGGATTGCCGGAATCAGATGCATTAAAACCCTAAAAGTGCCAAGCATAAGCCTGGCACACGGTGAATTATTATTATTCTAGAGCGTTCTTGTGCCCTGCAAGGGCTGCCCCAGGGCAGGGTACAGACTGAGAAGTCATGGGGGTTGGGCATTTGTAGGATGGGTCACTGAGGAGGGACCCTTGCTGTCTACCAGTCCAGTCACCCCAGCACCTCCCCCGCACACAACAATGTGACTTGGAAAAGAGCAAGTGACCCTGAAACATGGGGTGGCCCCACTTGAAGGAACCCATTCTGCAAAAGCCACACATTAAAGAAAGAGCTGTTTAAGCCACACATTAAAGAAAGAGCTGTATATAGCTTGTGCCACAGAATCCATACCATAAAGGTTGTATTGTTTATGTAGCAATCAACCAACCAAGCCACACTCTCTTTGGAATCATGGGTCACTAACGACCACTGGCCTGGCCCCATTAAAGCAAAAGCCATACCACTTAAAAGAATGCAGATGAATGATAAAGTGAGATCAAGGCCATGGGTCACCCCTGAGGGATAGGCAGATCTAGGCTTGGTCATTCAGGTCTCACTGGCCAAATAAGAGAACCGGTAGACTAGAATTCCTGATGGAACAGCACAGAAACATCTGTGAACATTTACCCTCCTCCCCCAAAAAGGAAAAGAAAAACAAACAAACCACAGAACCTACACATTTGCAAGATTTGCCTAATTTATACAGAATGCAAAGAAGAAATGGACCCAATCAATAAACTCCCAAGCATGGGAAATTTTGTAGGAACCATGACCTGGTTTCCTTAAATAATAACAAGAGAAAAACAAAGGCCATAGGAACTGACAGATGAAAAGAGACTTAAAAGACTCATCAGCCAACTGCTGTGTGTGGCTTCTATGAATGCTTGATGAAGCAAACTGGAAAAAAGATATTTATATTGGTGAGAAATCTGAGCACTGACTAGGTACTCGTGAGTTTCTGGAACCTGTTGGTTTAGTAGTAATGTTAGGAAAAAAAAAAAAGAGTTGAACTGAGAAATACATTGAAATATTTATGATGACTTGATTTGATATCTGGTGTAGACTTCAAAATCAGACTGAAGGAGGGGCGTAGATAGAACCTGACTGGCCAGGTTGAGGATGCCGGGTGACAGGTACACAGGAGTCACCATACTGAGCCAACCTCCTTCTACTACTCTAATCTAATTCTCTGTGCCACAGAGGAAGGCAGCTCACACAATTCTGTTTGTCCGTCTCTACTTCCTGTAGCCACCCAAATCAATGAGCTAGAGTTTGTCACCCTCCAGTTCTGGCTTGTCTTCCATTCTTTCACTAGGAGAAAGGGGGATTTTTGTAGTAAGCAGGGTCAGGAGGTGAGCTTCCAACCAGGAGTGGTCACCCACGCCTGTAATCCCAGCTACCCAGGAGGTGGAGATAGAAGGATCGCAGTCTGAGGCTGGCTTGGGCAAAAGTGAGAGAACCTATCTGCAAAACAAACTAAAAGCAAAAAGGGCTGGGGGTTGTGGCTCAAGTCATAAGTGCTCCTGCCCAGCAAGCACGAGGCCCTGAGTTCAAATCCTACTACCACCAATAAAAGGAAGTGAGTTTAGCGGGTGCAGAAGCCAGGCCTCAGGGCCTGCCAAATTGGAGACTGGAGAAATAGCTGTAATTGGTAGGTAGAATTCTCTGCTCCACAAGAAAATCTTACAACACAGGTCGGTTAATGGATAGATGTCTGTTTCAAAAGGGTTGATTTAAAATATAGCAAAAATATTTTTTAACATCTCCTGTCTTACAAAAGGCGGCAACTCTGTGCAATTCCATCTGATGGTTGAGCCCCGTAAGGTGGCTCCTGAGAAGTTTAGGGTACTGCTGCTGGCAGCACAGGAGTGATCTGACCAAGGCCAGACTCGAGGGACCACGAGCAACAAAGATCTCCCAGGTCTTGTCAAGCTGGAGTTTGTTCCTGGATTTTAACTTGGCCACCCTCCTCCTCCCACCTTTGCAATTGGACAAACACAGGGCTCAGAGATCTTGCTGTTCCCAGGAAAGCGTATGGCACCGTGTGGAATTTCCCCTGTATATCGGGGGCCCCCTAGTGACCTTGGTCACTGCAGGTGGTAAGGTACACAGCCCACTGCGTCTCCCTTGGACAGAACTCACAGGGAGAAAGGCTGGTCGGGGATCCCAGAGGCCACCCAGCCACGCAAGGGGGTACATGCACTTTGTAAGCAGTGGTTTCCACAGATAAATGTAATCAAGGTTTATATGCTCAGAGAAGCCAACGGGATAGATTGTTTCACTTGAAGGATCAGAAGAAAATTGTAACTAATGTTGTGGAAAATTACTTTGATATTGCTTTCTGGGTACGAAATCACAATTAGGCTGTGTGAGAAGAGGACAGAGAGAGAATAAATGAATAGTAACAAATCAACGCAAACAGCTTGTGTCGGGAGCACTTTGCCGAGAGCAAGTTACGTAAGCATTGCTTAAAGTTTTATGACTGTGTTCGGCGTGACTTACGAACGACGTCAAGATTGCCTGTCGTTCAGCGTGTGGTGAGGGTGGTCCACCTGCAGGTACCAACAGAAGTACACGGCTCAAGACCCAAGTGTGGTCCCCCCACCTAGCTCTGCCGGCAGCAGGGGATGCGTGTCCCCGCCTCGTGTCACCCTGCACACCCCCTGCCAGCCTGAGGCGTAAGCAGCTCTCCCCCAGGGCACTCTGGCCTGGAACAGCCCAACTGCAATCCTCATACCTTGTGCGCTTAGGTGGCTGTGCAGGACAACACTGGTTGGCACAAGGGACAGGAATCTGCTGCCTGTAAAACCAAGTGTCCTGCTTGGCCAGCTGGACATGTGTTGGGGCTACCAAAGGACAATGTCACACAAGAATGTGCCACCTGTCCCAGGAGTGGGCTACCAATGTGCCCATGTCCCCTGTCTCAGGTGGACACCACGGATACACTCATGCCTTCACCTCCTGGCTGGTCCCACACAACAAAGACACCATCACACCAGGACTGCAGCAAGGATGTCCGCACCTTCTGTACAAGCAGTGTCTGGACACCCTGTTCCCAGATTTGCTTACACAACCAGAGCCCAATTCGTTGGCCTGTCCTGTGGGGCCCCGCTGCGATGATTCAGTATCACCTGCTATTCTAGGGCTCCTGAGAGCTTACAAAGTCCCCAGAGGAGCCAGCTCTGTCACGCGCACTTGCTTCCTCAGAAGCCAGAGAGCAGCCAGACCCACTTTTGACAGCCACCAGGTGTAGGAGTCAATCCAGGCATGCGTCAGCACCGTGGCTGGCCTACCTGCCACCACAGCTGCCTCTTCCTCTCTGTGATGAAAGGTGCAACTCAGCAGCCTCCCCCACTCCCCTGTAGGGCCTGTGGCAGCCGCTGCCAGGCCCAGGTAGGCTCTGGCCTCTGTGTGCCCATAGCCTTCAGTCTGTGTCCAGAGCCACACATCATGGGTTGCCACCCGGGTCTGTGGACAGGGTTGGGGGCGGGGGCGGTGTGTGCCATTCTGCTTTGAGCGCCTGAGCCAGGGAGAGCTGGAGGTGGGGCTGGGGAGGAAGCCACACCGGCTCCTGTCCAAAAGCAGGTGCCCCCCTAATCTGTGCAACCCCATTCTGTGTTGCAGGCAGGGGTGGCATAGAAAGCCTGAGCCCCTGAGTCACTGTTCTTTCACCCTGTCCCTGCTCGTAGACCTGAGCCAACAGTATGTGTACCTGTGTGTGTCCATGGGAAGGGACAGTGGGATGTGTGGGATGTGTGTCCTAGAACACGTGGACTGTGGAGAGGGGGGGTCTTCATGGTCAATCTTCCTCTACCAGAAGCCATTGTTGAGACACGACAGTGCTTAGCTCAGGCCTGGAAACCCAGCTTTCCCCTTACTCCGACGCACAGTAAGACCCTGACCTTGACCTTGTGCCAGTGACCTCCAACCCTGCCACGTCCAGCAGCAGGGACCTTGCAGACTCCCCTCCACATCCTGTTTGTCCCGAAATGCTAATGCCACCTTCCTGCTCTCACCCACCTGTCTCCACCCGCCTCCCACCTGTTCCAACAGACCTGGGCACCTTGGGAAGGGTGTGCTCCTCTCCCTCACCATAGGCCACAAGGCACAGGAGGCATCGGGGTGGGTCCTGACCTCACAAGGTGCCCTGGTCATTTCTGTTCAAGCCACAGTGCAGATTCAAGGGTGTCCATGGCCAAGCAGGGAAACTGAGTCTCACTTGAGCGTCCAAGAATATGGTGTTCACCCTCTGACGTCCCAGACAATTCGGAGGAGGCCCCAGTGGGTGGTAGAATTTCACAGAAGGCAGCAACTGGCCAAGCAGATGGGCAGCCTCTCCATCATCCCAAGAGGGGCCGCCCCATGGCTATGGAGGCCAGAACTTCTCTGCCTGTTGAGTGGCTCATCCCCCTGGCCCAGCACATCTGGCCAGCCGTGAGGTCTGGGCCTCGGGTGGGAAAGCGGGGGGGGGGGCTCACCTGGCACCTGCTGGGGGGCCAGCTCCGTGGGGTCCTGCAGGCTGATAAAGAGGAGGAGGCCTGCAGCTCCGAAGAGCAGAATGGATGAGAACATGCAGGCCAGCCGCATCGTTCCAGGTCGTGGGGTCATCCGGGGTGACCTCTCGGGTGTGGGAGGTCCTCATTGTCCACACCCGGCATCCATCAGGCCGAGGGCTACAGGACAAAGAGAGAAAAAGAATTCCGTCTGAGCTCCATGGAATCAGGGTGGGTGGAGGCCACCGTCACCACACCACCCAAGTGAAGTCCTGGGATCCCATGCTCACCCCAAGCTTACGGAGGCATGTTCCTTCTATCTTTTGAAACCCAGGGGACTGCAGGAAGTCCTGTTGCCACCTGTGGCTTCCCACTAGGGTCTCCAGTAGCTATACTCCCAAAAGAACCATGGCGAGAGGACAAAAGTGGCTGTGGTCCAGAGGAGCCTCGAGATGCAAACACCCCACCACACTGCACTGTGCGGCTCCAGAGCCTCCAAATAAGCGTGTGTGCCCCCTGTGGGGGGAGCCAAGGAATGTGGGTCCTTGCCCCTGGTGACTGGCCCAGTGGGCAAATTTGCCCCTGCCCTGGCCCCTGGCCCTGCAATGCTGGGCACCAGGGTCTCCATGGAACCTGAGGCTTTGGGAAGGAGAGGCTGCTCAAGTACAAAAGGATGTCCCCATACCAGGCACAGCTGTCCTAGCTGGCAGACTGACAGATGGGCTGGCAGGACCCAGGTCCCGAGGACAGTCCCAACAGCAGGGGCTGAGCTCTAGGCAGACCTCGGTTGTCCCAGCTCTAGCCTGAGGCCCTGGCGCTGAGTGAGGCAGCCATTCTACCAATGTTCATATCCGGAGCCCCGAGGCCCAGGGGCCAGGTGTCACCATCCCACTGGCCCCACTTGCTCTTCTGCCCCTGTGGACTCAGAACATGCTCAGTGACTTGCCCGTCTCTCTGGCTCTACCAGAAGGGCAGAAGAAATGCCCAACAGTCCAGGTACCAACCAGTGACCCCTCACCCCAACTGGGTCAGCTGTGCATCAAGATGGGTACCCTAAGACCACCTTTGATGGGACGGGTGTGGGCAGAGGGAGACAGTACTGAGGACTCCCAGAGACTTCCCTTGGCCAGAGCCACAACCATCCAAGGAGCCTGCAGGGAACTTGCCCGTCCTGGCACGGGGCAGTTCCTGAGGGAAACTGAGGCTGCCTGGGTCACTCCAAGCAACCTCCAAAAGCAAGGTTAGGTGGCTGAGCTGGCCCCAGACTGGCTGCGCTGCTTGCCCCGGACCTTCCCTTGGCCAGGCAGAAACACGGGGGAAGTACTGTTCTGTGTCCAGCCTGCGCAGCGTGAGGCAGAAAGGGACAGAAAACCCTCCCCGAGAAAAACTTCCCAAGAACTAGACTGCTTCTCAGAAAAGCTCAGGGACCGAGCAGCATAAGCTGCAGGTTTGGGGTTTCTCCCCTCTGCAGTGTCTGTAATTATTTTTTCACTCAGTTAACTTTAATTAACCTGCCTCAGGCCTCTACGCGCCTGGCACTGGGCTCCCTGGACTGTGCTGAGCAGGTGGTTCCCGCGACCTCCGGCTTTCATTTTGGGAGGCAGAAACTGAGCAGGGCTTTTTTTTGTCTCTGGAGCTGGGTCAGGGATTTCAGGCACATCCTGACTTCAGTGCAATAACCCTGCTCTATAAAAGGACTGCTGGTCTCTGCCATCAGCTGGTGCCACTTCTATCCTACTCGCAGTGGGCAAAAATTGGACAACCACATGTGCCCAAAGGTGCAGACCTAGGAGCCCCTCATTTGGACCTAAGGCCTCCCTTCCTGTGGCTGCCCTGGGTGGGACTGTCCCTGGAGTCTGATATATTGTCCTGAAAAGACACCAGTAGATAGCATAGGTTCAGATCCCACTGAAAGACGGGCCACTCTCAACACTCCTCCTAGCGTCCCCCGATGTCCTTCCCTCGGGCACTGCAAGCAGAATTTGGGGGACAACAGTGCCAGCCTCTAGCTGCTGGAGACGTGAGTGACTAAGGGGGGTTGGAGCTATTCTCTTCCACATGCACTGTCCCCACAGCAGCTGGCTTAGCCCCGTGGGATGTCCAGGCAGCTCTGGAAAGGAGCTGGAAGGACAGAAATGACACACTGACTCATAGACAGGGAGCAGGGGAGGAAGTTCACGTTTCTGCACGCACTTTGTCGGTGAACTTGAGCTGGAACAGTGACGCCTATACGTGTACAGGCCTGAGCAAATGTGGTGGGTTTCTCTACACGCAGATGGGCGCACACACACACCCACACACCCGCACCACACCCCCGGTGGTCACTGGGAAGTCCTCAGCCGGCCGTGGTGCTGATCCACTTCTTACAACCACAGCGGCCTCCTGAGGCACCAGGGATGTCAATTTGGTCACGGGTGCGTGACCTCTGACATCAAGACATTTTGTAGGGTCCGTGTTACGGCTTGAGTATGAAATGTTCCCACAGACTCGTGTATGGGAATTTGGTCCCCAGCTGGTGGTGCTATTTTAGGATGTTCTGGAAAATTTAGGAGATGGGACCTAGCTGGAGGAAGGAAGTCACTTGGAGCAGGTAGGTGGTGGTATTTTATCCCTGCCCCCCACCCTGCTTCCTGTCCGCCATGAGAAGAGAAGAACGGTCTTCTGAACCATTCGCTCCCACTGCCATGATGTTTTGCCCAGGTGACCACGGACTAAACCCTCTGAAAGCAGGAGCTGCAATAAATCTTTCCTTCTGTAAGTGACTTCTGTCAGGCACTGTCACGGCAGCAAGAAAGCTGACTGATACACAGGGAGAGAGGATGAAGAGAAGGGGCAAGCTATGCCCAGCACGTAAAGCTGGCTGGTGACACGCTAATAGCATGTCACCAGCGTCAGCCCAAAGGCTCCACTTGATAAACAAAGGGAACGCAGGCACACATGTGCTCGCCATCTTGTTTGTTTAGTACTGGTACTGCAGACGTGGCTCCAGAAAGCGATCGGTCCCCTCTCCTCCTCAATCTGTCACACTGTCACCATTCGAGCCACTACAGACTTCCTCTGTCAACAACTAAAGGGGTCCTGCAGCCTTGGCCTGACATAGCTTTCAGAAGCTGAATCCACCACACAGAGCCAGGCTCTGTTCACCCACACGTCTCAGATTCCGGAAAAGGATGGCACCCCTCTCCCAGTCTGGGGGGGAGAATGCAGAGCCCACTCTGAACTTCCACGGTCATTTCCACGACCCTCCGCAGAGCACAAGCCCAAGAAGCTGGTGTTAGAGCCAGGTGTGGCTTCCCCATTCAGCCCCTAAGCCCCTGACCCCAGCCTGAATTCTAGGACCCCCTTCTCCCTGTTTGCTCTCACTGGGGACCACATGGCCAGCTCGCACCCCACTCCATGCACAGGGGAATCAAAAGTAACGCCCCTCTGCTCCTGGGTAACTGGCGTGCGTGCAGTTGGTGAGGTCTGTGATGCCCCAGGACGGGGGCAAAAATTCTCCCCCAAGGATGGGGGTGGACAGGAGGCTCCCGACAGACCCGAGATGTGCAAGGCAGAGAGCATGCGCCTGTGAACCCTCATTGTTCCCTTGGGGGCCCTTTTCTCTAAAGTCACATGTATTTTCAAGACAACAGGAAACGCTGGTCCAAAGGCGATTTGTCTCCATCTCCTTTGTGTCCAGCTGTCGCCCAGGGACTGAACACTACAGCCTGCCGCAGACAGAGGCCTGGCTGCCCCGGGGCCCCATAAACACATCCGCTGGCCTCCACGCCCACCTGGGACTGTCACACCACACACCACCTCATGCTTGGCCCCAGTGACAAGTCCATCTCCCTTCACCCTCCTGCATTCTTTTCTAAGACCGACAGACAATAAGAAAATTCAAATTACTAGAAAAGGGAGAGGCATGAGGCAAGAAAACACACAGCCCTGTTGAGTTTCCAGACATCCCCGCTCACCTCAAAATTCCTATCGTTCAAGTGGTCTCTTTATGAGGCCCAATGGCGTCACCAATTTCTACTTTAAGAAAAAAGAAAGAAGGAAAGAAATCCAATTAATCGTGTAAAACACCTCCTGGGACATAGGACAGGGCCAGAGATTCCTCTGATTTCCTTATTTATTTGATTTAAAAAATTTGTCTCTTTGGGGACATTGACTTCAGGGCACAAGCAAGGACTTGGGAATTCAGCCAAAACACACGCACCTCCAGAGACGATGGCCAGACACACGGATGGCTCCAAGGACACGCTTGGCGGCGGCTGCTCCAGGGCCTAGACGCTGGTCCCAGTCACCCGGAGGACCCGTCCGGCTGTGGGAACCTGGCCCCGCGCCCACTCCAGGCAGCCTGGGTGCGCCCACGTGGTCAACTGGCCTCAGGCCCGGGAAAGTTCTGTCCGTCTGTCTCCTCCTCACACGGGCAGGAGGGAACAATGACGTCCCTCCCGGCTGAGGGCTCCAGGAGAAGCTGTGCATCGGGAGAGAGGCTGCTATGGCAACTTGAGGAGAATGGAGCCAGGCAGTGCCGTCACCTTGAATCCGGCACCGCGCCTTCTGCTGCTGCGGCAGGGGGACCAGGCACCCGGCTGCTGTCCCCATCCGCCATAGCCAGGTGCTGGTGGTGGCTGACCCCCCAGCTTCCCTCCTCAGCCCTGTGGCCTCTGGAACTCATCTTGCTCCTTGCCGAGCGGAGCACACAGCCTGGTCCCTCGAGAGCACCACCTCCATCTGCTTTGTCAGAGTAGTTCTTCCGTGTGCGGCTCCGGCTTACTTTCTGAGATGGGCTCTTCTTGATTTCAGCTCATTAAAATCCTGCAGCTAATTAAAGCCGCTCAAACGGCGGCAGCGGTGGTGCAAACTCTGGGATGCATTCTCTAGCTTTTATGCGTAGACGCAAAGTTGCAGTGCTCTGTGGGGATGACAAATGGCCTTGGTGCTCTGACTCTGAGCAGGGCTGCAGACTCCATGGCTCCCGCCCACTGCCCACTGGGCCTGAGGGATGCTGGCTGGGTCCTGGAATCCCCCAGGGCCTGGCTGCACTGAGGCCATTCATCTGTCATCTGCTCCCCTCTCAAAGGGGCTGGGTTCCTTCCAGTCCCTCAGTGCTCTTGCAGAGCAGAG